GAAAAAAATGAATAAAAATCTCATTCCCCATCATCGGGCTTTCTTAATAATTTGTGATATTTAAAAAATAATGTATTACTTTCCTATGTATAAACATTGGTATAAACTCAAGACTTGATCAATGGACATGGGAATATCTTTTACAAATTATTAAGGGTAGCTGGGCTTGATAAACTTTTTTATAATTATATGCTTCCTAATATTGTGCCTCCTACAGTTGCATTAATTTTGAAAAAAATTTCCCAAGCCTAGAGATATAAAATATTAATAATTTGTAATATTTAGTAAATAATGTATTACTTTTTGGTTTTAATATGGCCTCCCATAGTTGCATAGAAAATTTAAGTTATAGGATTATCTGTTTGTATAAAATAAATAAATAAAATCAACAATAGTAAATAATGTATTACTTTTTGGTTTTAATATAGCCTCCTACAGTTGCATAGAAAATTTAAGTTACAGGATCATCTGTTTGTATAAAAAATAAATAAATTAAACAAATAAAAAATAAATAAATAAATACGTACCGATGACATGACGCAACGATGACATGACGCAACGATGACATGACGTAGCGATGACATGACGTAACGATGACATGACGTCACGATGACGTAGTGAGGACATCGGAAAATTATAATATAGATATGTGTTAAAAATAGAGAAAACGGTGAATAAGTAAAACACTCCTCCCGGCTGCATTTTAACAGTCCCCCATAGTTTTTTTTTATCTACATTCATGCATTTACATGCAATATTCCATATAAGTAATTTTTTATAAATATTTTATATTGATAAATTTAACTTAATATTAAGATGCTTAATTGGTGGATAAATGTAAGTTTTAAAAATTATTTTTATTATTTTTAATATTTATTATGCTAATTATTATTATATCTAGATTAGGGATATTCTATCAGGTTTTGGTAGGGAAATAATTTCTCAATCAAGAGAAAAAGACTTAGTTAACCTAATAACAAATATCTCAAGTTCAGAAGAAGCAGAAAGTTTTGCTTCACTCTATGGACAAAAAACAAAGACTGTTTGGATTGTATGCCGTTTTTTAAAACCTAAAAGTACATCAACAATGAATAAAATATTTGCTATTTAATTCTAATTCATCATGTTGTTTAAAAATATGCCTGCATTAATACAAATAATTCAGATTGATCCTTTCAAAAAAATGGAAATGTCACGATAGTTCACTTAACAAAGAAAATAATAGCTATAGAAATTCAAACTGCCTAGCTTTTATCAATGTTGTTATAAAGGCAATTAAACATTACAATTTTATCCCAACATAATTATCACATTCAGAATGTAGATTCATTAAGGCAGCTTAGAGTTAATGATGAAGTAATTTTCACATATATATATATGTATATATTATAATTATTTATAGACAAAAGAAAAATATATAAAGCTTTTTGAACAGGGAATGTCTGTTTGTGAATAGAAGAGAATAAATCAGTAACTTTGCCATCAGGTATAGTTTGCAGAGATAATGCCACCATTAGTCCAACATCTAGACAAATTAAACATCCATGATGTATGGTTAGACCTGTGCGCCGCCGATTTTTATTATGGCGGCAGCGCGGCGTGTGTAATTTTTAGAAAGCATATTAATTATATATTAAATTATTATTATTTTAATTTGAATACTAGCATTAATAAAATTAAAATATGAATTGTATTCTATTGCTATATATAATAGACTTGTGTATATCATTTACATTCATTCATACATCATATTTTATTTCCACAAACAATTCATATTAATTATTTTTATGGACTTCCACGTTTTAAACCACCCTTTATACCATTATGAAATAACAACTCTTTCTACTAATCATAAATCAAGTTATGTCTGGAGGTACTTTAGAAATCTTATTTTGAAGAATGAAAATAAGAAAAGCACAATAATGCCTGATTATATTTTTTGTGATCCTTGTTTAAAATTGGGGAAAAAAGATGAGGAAGATTCGAATAAACATTCATTTTCACAGTAATTTATTTTTTTTAGTCTTATATTAATATATATTTTATATTTTAATTATGAAATAAAATGTTTTAGTAAAAATATAAGTACAAGTAATCTATCTCGGCACTTAATTAATTATGACAAACGATCACAAAAATGAATAATAATAAATTTATTCAAAGTCTAAAAATGTTTTTAAAGCCAACACCAAGATGCAGCAACAATATAAAAGATAAAAAAATGACTCTTAGGTTTGTATTATTGTTTATTATTATTTAAAATTTTTAACTGGTTTGTTAAATTAATTTATTAAGCTTTATTTTGAAAGTTCAAAACAACTAAATTTTTAGTTTATTTATTGCCAGCTCTATTTTGAGATCTTTTTAATATATAAACTTAATATATAATTTATTAAATTAATTATTTAAACTTTATTTTGAAAGTTACTACTAAATCAAATTCATAATTTGTTTCATTCCAACTATAATTATTATGTTTTTTAAATGTCTTTTTAATGTATAAACTTAATATATAATTTATTAAATTAATTATGTAAAATTTTATTTTGAAAGTTAAAACTAAATCAAATTTATAATTTGTTTAATTCCAGCTCTAATTATTTTGATGTTTTTTAAATATCTTTTTAAATTATTATTTAATATATAATTTACTAAATAAATTATTTAAAACTTCTTTAGAAAGTTAAAACTAAATCAAATTTATAATTTGTTTCATTCCCTCTAATTATTTTGTTTTTAAATAAATTATTTAAAACTTTTATTTTTAGAAAGTTAAAACTAAATCAAATTTATAATTTGATTTCATGTTCATCTCTAATTATTTTGATGTTTTTTAAATATCTTAATGTTTAAAATAAATATAAAATCTAATAGGGCGAAATTATGTTTTGATGTGCTGCTTAGATTTAATGCCATTTGATTCTATAAACAATAAAGGAATGTCAGATTTTCTAAAGGTTTAAAATTCATATAAAATGAATATTAAAAAATAAATTGCCTAAGAAATATATATATAAGAGAATTGATTCCTCATCAGAATTGCCAAATAGGACAACCATTAGTCGGGGTGCACTAGAAGATGTTTATTTATCTATAAAAGCCCATGTTTTAAATCTGATTGATTCTGGACCAAAATTTTGTTCTATCACTTTTGATTTATGGACCGATCATTTCAAGCATCGAAATTATATCACATTTAGTCTTCATCATTTAGATGAAAATTTTGATTTAAAATATTTTACCCTAGCAACTAAAAAGTGACTCAAAAGCATACTGGGGAACAATATTATCTGAGATTGATAGTATTGAAGAGGAGTTCCATTTAAAAGCCAAAATAATACAAATGGTAACTGATGCTGGGGCCAATGTCAAAAGAAGCGTCAGATTAGGAAATTATGAGCATCATTTATGCTTATGGCATGGACTTCATAATTTGGTTACAGTTGATGGCATAAAAAAAGTTACCAAAATTGATATTCTCATTAAAAAAATTAGAGAAATTATTTCAGCCCTTAGATATCGAGTAGATTTGTAATGTGAAATTGAGGCTGAACATCGTAAATGTCTGCAGTCAATTTATGAGAAAGGTAATATCTTAGATATTGATGATTCTGATCCATACCTTGATGACCATTTCAATATGTCTGATGAATCTGATAATAGAAATGGCATTGCACCAACCTATCTAATTAATGCAAAAACTTTAAAATTAAATTGCCCTACCTGCTGGCATAACATATTAATTATGCTAGAAAGTGTTCGCAGTGTAAACAAAATTCCTATAAATAATGTTCTAAATAAAATAGGAAAACAATCTTTAAAACTCTTTAATAATGTATGGGATATGATTGATGGCAGTATTAAATCCATTCCGAGAGTCGGTGAAATTTCTTTCCTCCCAAAAAGGATCGACAATAAACTTAGGGTTATTATTTCTCAGTGAAATAAAAGCTCATATACAAATCAATAGATCTGATTGCCAGATATTATATGCTTAAAAGAAAATATGGAAAAAAAAGCTTGACTATAGGTTTCCCATTACTGAACTTCAAGTTATTTTATATTTTTATTAATAAAATTATATTTTAAACATTAGATATTAGCAACTCTACTTGATCCCAAATTTCAAAATCTTAAAGTTGTTTCAGAATATTTAAATTTGAATTCTACGACATCATTGCAATTTTTAATTCACATTTTAAACTATTAGGGCATGATAGAAATGCACAGAGTAAAATTCAAGTTAAGGATAATGGTCAAACATCAATCTCTTATATAGCTAAATTAGCTCGTAAACATTCCCTTCCAAGTAACGATTATAACAATATTAGTAATCTAGAACAAGAAAGCCATATTTTGCTCAGCCAAAATAATATACCAGAAGAGGCCCCATATATCGTTTGGAAGAAAAAGCGACTGGAACTTCCTATGCTTGCTAATTAAGTTAGGAAGGGTTCATTGTATACCTGCACAGCGAAAGAATTTTTTCCATTGCTGCATTAATACTCAATGCTAAAAGGACTTCTTAATGTCCCACAAATCTTGATAAAATACTGTTTATTCATGACAATTGTAATTTTGCTAAATCTGAATTATTATATTTCATACTTTATATTTTGCTTGCATTCCAAATTTATCTTAATTATAATAAAAATCAATAGAATATTTCTTATATGTGTTGTTGATGTGACTCTGATCTGAGTAAAAATGCAATTCCTTAATCTATTTCTGAGAATGAGAAAATACATAAATTTAAATTGGAGTGAGACAGAAAATAATTTAAGATCAATTAAACTATGTTAACAATTTATTAGAAAAGATCGCCCAAATATATAAAAAATGTAATAAATTAATTTATAAATTAAATTCATTAAAAAAATTTAAAATAAATATTGCGCCACCGCCGCCGACAATTTAGTAGATGGCGGCGAAATCGGAGGCCGCCGAACGCCGATAAAAATTTAAAAAAAACCGCCGACGTTGATTGAGACATCGGTGCACAGATCTATGTATGGTATACTTAAAAATTTGGCTCGTCTATTAAAAAAAAAGAAGATTGAATTGGAAGATAAAAGTATGAAATATATATGAATAAATTACATAGTTTAATTAGATATAAAAAAATATATATGGGAAGAATTCATTGGGGGATTATAACTCCTATAATGATGAGAGGACAAGAGTTGCTCACTTCCAAATAGTTAATATTTGTGGATTCCACATCTTGTTGTGATAGTGATAATTCTACTATCACACTAAGGCTTACTGCAACTAAAGCAGGTGCAATACCAATTGCCATTTTTTGCACAGGGGATATTCCATGGAGAGTTATAAGAATGTGTTTTCTCTGTTCAAGGAGCACTACCCACAGGAATTTGGTGGAAATAATGTAAATTTCTAATGTCTTAAAGATTTGGCCATCTACTTAATTATTATGCCAATTTTATGTAGCACGAGCATATAGAAGTCATATACAAAAAAGTCAGGAAATTGATACATCACATAACAAGGTTATTATAAAATTTTTCAAGATGTAAATAGAATTATCTATATATATAATCACCGCAATCAAGAAATAAACGTTTTGTTAATGTTAATTTTTATTTTTCCTATCGTTAAATAAATCGATGGAGACTATATATCTCTAATGTTAAATTTTAAGAAAATATTTTGTGCATCACGGGATTCGAACCTATGACTTAACGTTTTAATAGCAAACGTTCTTCCTCTCAGCTACCTTCTATATTAAATTTTGTAATATAATCTTTCTTATATATATTATTATTTTGCTATTAACATATTTTTCAATTAATTTATATAATTTAGATCTTAATGTGTTATATTAAAAAGAATACTAACCTCACCTAAATTATGGTAAGAATGAATATTATTAAATTTAAAATAGCAAATTAAATTATATTTAGTTAATTGAAAAATAAACATTTATCTCATATTAATTTTAGCGTAAGTTATATTCAATCAAAGTAAAATTTATTAATTTTTATAAAATTATTTTTAAATTACAATTTAGATTTAACAAATAAATTTAAATTATTTACCACACCAAAATATGGCAGTAAAATTTTTTTTATCTCAACCACAATAAATATGGGAGCTCTGCAAATAGTATAAAATACCTATTTATCAATATCTTCCCATGCCAGAAAATTAACCTCCATCACTATTCCTAAGTACTTGTTACAATTTAGATTTAACAAATAAATTTAAATTATATTTAGCCAAAATAAACATTTATCTCATATTACCACTCAAAATATGCCAGTATAAAATTTTTATCACAACAATACTTGAACTCTGGAAATGATATATGATATATATTATCAAATAATAATACATTTATTTAACATTATAAATATATGTCAATCAATTTATAGTTGATAATGAGAAAAATAATATAGATATTGATTGTTTATTACATATTTATGGATATTGATAAATATCACGGATGGATATAAAAAGTTGGTAGTTCTTTGTTTTATAATTAAGAATTAGTTTTTATTTTATGAAAAAAACTTGGTACTTGATATACTTTTCGACGGAATATATTTGAATAAAAACGATTACAAAAAATAGTTGTAATTTTGAATTAAAGTTATACTTATTTTAATGGTACCGACCGACCAGGACCAGTACCCGTGAACACTTATTAGGGAAAAATAAGAAAATTTAAAAAAAAACAAAAACAAAATAGTGAATATTTTTGTTAGAGAATTTTAGATATTATAAAGGAAGAACAATTTCTAGGACCGGGTTCCTCAAAATAATATTAATTCTGGATATATATATAAAGGTAAAAAATTTATTATTGAATTATAAATTAAACACAACGCGATTTGAAAAGTTTTTTTTAAATAAATTAATTTTTTTTAGGATTTTAAAAAATTTTATTTTTGATATAAATTTATGAAATCATGGTTTATCCTTTTATTACTGTGCATAGGAAGCCTGATTTTAATAAAATTTCGAATTATAAGAATAATTTTAATAAAATTTTTAATACAAAATTTAATGAATTGGATGTGACCAATAGTGTGGTTACAGCTTTCATTTTTTTATATTGTATATATTATTAATTGGTTTCAGACAATTAATTAATAAAATTCAGAGAAGATCAGTGAATAATAAAATAATTAAATTAGGTGATCTAAATACTAATAAATCTTTAGATATTTCTGAGGATATCAAAAATAGTTTACATTTAGAATTAAAAAATTTAAATGGTAAAAAAATTGTTATACCGGAAGAACAATCAGAGAAAATATTATATACGGGTGAAGTATTTAATTTTCCTCAAAATATTGACATATCGGAGGATATAAATAAAAAATTAAATTCAATTGTGATAGAATTTAAAAAGCAAATATCTGAGGTTTTAATTGAGAAACCAGTAGAAATTTTGAAAAATAATAAAACAAATAATACTTTGAGACAAAGTACCGAGGAATCTCTAATTTTAAGTGAAATTAGAGAAATGAGAGAAAATATGAAAAATTTGTCCAGAGAAGTTTCCAACTTAAAAATCAAAAGTAATAATGTGATTGAAAGTTGTGAACTTTGTGGAAGAAAAGGACATATCGGTAAAAATTGTTATTCAAGAGACCGAAAAACTAATGAGAATGTGACTGCAAAACCAAGTGAAAAAAATGACATAGTGTGTCATAGATGTGGTTTTGTAGGACATATAAAAAGAAATTGCATGGTGAAAGAAGCCAATTTCAAAAGTGGATTTCCGCAACGAACATCGGTAGTGATAAATCCAGTGGTTCGAAATATACAAAATCCTAGTATTACAAATATGGATAAAACAGAAATATACAATACAGACCATGATAGAATGTGTTTCAGATGTGAAAAAATGGGACACATTGCAATACATTGTATTCAAAGTGTGAATGAGTCACAGTGACTATATGATTTGAAAGAGATTCATATAAAAATAGATAAATTATATTTAGAGAATATAAAATTTTGTGATATATATAGTTTTATTAAAAATTTTGTGGATATATATAATAAAATAGATAATCATTATGGGAATGATGATTATACATTGAAATTTAACTCGAATAAAAAGAGTTGTAATGTGGGAAATTTTTATTGTCATTCTGATGAAATAAAAAATTTTAAATTAACCAATAATCTGAATAAAAAGGATTATTATAATCAAACAAGTGGGAAATATCCATGGGAGATTTTTAATAAAAACATAAATGAGATTCAGATACCTTTAAATTCTGAGATGAATTTAGGTATGAATATTAATTATAGTGGAAATTCGATTATAATAAATACTATTCAGCCAATGAAAGTAATTGAAAAATTAAGTGATGAGGGAACAATTGAACAAAGTTCATGTCCTCATATAAATTTGAAAATTGATGAACATATTGTGGAAATGTTATTTGATACTGGAGCGAGTATTTCAATAATGTCTAGTGAAAATTTTTATAAATATTGGCCGAATGGTATAGTCGAGAGACAAAATATGTGTATAAAACAATTTGATGGATCTGAAATCCAAGTTTTGGGTAAAACGCAGTGAGATGTTCTTTTCCATGATATTCCTATAATTTTGGATTTATGGATAGTGAAAAAAAATGTTTAAACAATTATGGGTTGGGATTGGATTAGCAAACTTGGACCTATAAATAATTATTGGGATTTATTTATAATTGATAGCGAATTGGCTAGAGATAATGCCGAAAGAAAAATAATGGCTAATGAAGTCAGGGAAAAACTTAAAGAGAGGGAAATGAATAAATTAATGAGTGAAGTGAAAGAATCTATAGTTAATAATAATATTTGTGAATATCCCGCAAAATTAATAATAGATTCAAATCAATATAAGATCAATAGTGAAGTTGATAATGATAAAAAAAATAATAATGAATGAATTAAATAGAGTTGAAAACGCTATACCTATTTTAGTTGAAAAATATGATATAATTTTTGAAGACACTTTGGGATGTCTAAATGATTATCAAGTGGATTTAAAATTAAAAGAGGGATTTTCACCTATTTTCTTAGCATGTCGTAGAGTTCCTTTTGAGTGGAAAAAGGAAATCAACGAAGAATTAGATAAATGGGTTAATGATGGTATTATTATTCCTGTGGAATATAGTGAATTGGCTACACCATTAGTACCTGATAAAAAATCTTATGGAAAACTTAGATTACGTGCAGATTTTCGAGTAACACTTAACAAATGGGTTGTGGATGTGAAATATCCATTACCCCGAATTGAAGAAATTTTGGCAAATTTAAAGGGAGCTAAATATTTTTCAAAAGTTGATTTTTCATCAGCATATTTACAATTGCCTTTGAAAGAAGAAATTCGTAAATTGTTGACAATAACAACGCCTAAAGGATTATTTTCGTTTTGTAGATTACCTTTTGGGTTAAGTGTATCTGCACCGATTTTTCAGAGAACGATGGCATCAGTTTTTCAGGGTTTGGAAGGTGTATTTTATTATATGGATGATGTGTTGATAACTGGAGTGACGCCAGAACAACATAATCAACGTCTTGAAGAGGTTTTCAAGAGAATTCAAGATAAAGGTTTAAAAGCTAGTAAAGAGAAAAGCATTCTTGGTGTCACCGAAATAGTATATTTGGGTCATCAAATTAATGGAATTGAAGTGAAACCACTTGATAAAAATTTAAAAAATATTTTAAACATAAATCAGCCTAATAATAAAGCTGAAGTACAATCTTTTATGGGCATGATAAATTACTATCATAGATTTGTGGATAATTTTGCAAAAATAGCAGCTCCATTATATGACTTATTAAAAAAAGGTGTTAATTTTGAGTGGAAAATTGAACAAAGAAGTGCTTTTGAAAATTTAAAGAGAAAAATTGGTGAGGAACCAATTTTAGTGTGTTTTAACAATGATTTGGAGATAATTCTTGCTGTTGATGCATCAAATAAAGGTGTCAGAGGTGCATTATTACATGTCATTGATGGTTTAGAGAGACCAATTATTTTTTTTTCACGAAATTTCATGAAGTGGAAACTAGATATTCTGTTATAGAACAGGGGGCTTTAGCGATTATTTTTGGGTTGACCAAATGTCGTGAGTATTTAATCGGGAAAAGATTTGTGATTTATACAGATCACAAGCCATTAATTCATTTCAAGAAAGATAACAAAGAATTAATGATGTCCCCGAGGTTACAACGGTGGTTGTTACTTGTGGGAAGTTTTAATGTGGAAATAAAATATAGGCGAGGAAGAGAAAATTATTTGCCAGATATATTGTCGAGATTAGGGGCAGGTTGTGCTACTCCTGAAATAACTGACAACATGATTATAGATAGAGAAGATGCATTGGTGAGAACTCTATCATATATGTTAAAAGGAGGTCCTACAACTTGAGAAGATCTCAAATCATATGCTTTAAAAGATAAAGTATTGAGACAAATAAAATTATTTTTAATAAAGAAATCATGAAAAAATAGTTATAAAATTTATCAAAAATTTGAAAAAGAATTATCTGTAGTAGATGATTGTTTAATGAGGGGAAATAGGGCAGTAATTCCGTTGAAATTACGTGCTAAAATAATTAATTTATTACATGCAGGACACCAGGGTCAAGTTAAAATGAAATCTTGGGCTCGTGAATATGTATGGTGGCCTGGGATGGGTAATGATATAGAAAAAATTACAAGGGAATGTGTTCCATGTAATACCTGTGCCGTTATGCCCCTTAAAGATATGGGACAAGTATGGCCAAAATCAAAGAAACCGTGGTAACGTATACATATTGATTTTTTTGATTTGGATGAAAAATCATATTTTTTAGTGGTGGATTCATATTCTACCGAAGTACATGGGTATACAACTAAAATTGTTAATAATAAATTAAGTGAATTATTTGCAAAATTTGGTGCCGAACAAAATAGTGTCTGATGGAGGTCCAGCCTTCATAAGTGAAAATTTTAAACAATTCTGTGATGAATTAAAAATACAACATATACTTACTCCACCCTATCATCCTAGCTCAAATGGCCAGGCTGAAAAGATGGTAGCCATAGTGAAAAATTGGTTAAGAAAATCTAAACAAGAAAAAAATGAAGTCTGGTTAGCCCAGTTATATTATAATAATTCAAGGAATAAGGAGGGGGTTACTCCTGTTGAATTGTTTTTGGGTAGAAGAACCAAATTACCCTTAGATTTTCTTAAGTCAAAAGAGATTGACAATATAGTATCTCATGAAAAAATCAATGTAAAATTTCCTGTGGGGAAAATTATTTGGGGAAGACTTTTTGACCATAAAAAGAAGTGGGAGAAAGGTTGTGTGATAGATAATATTGGGAATAAATTATGTAACATACGATTTGATGATGGGGAGTATGTCATAACGATTTTATTAGGGTATATAATAAAGAGGGGAATTAAATTAGTCCATAAAAAACGGAATTGTGGTTCCTAGAATTTTTTAGGACAGAATTCTTAGGACAGAACTCTTTGTGTACTTAAATAATTTTAGTGGTAAAGTTTATACAAATAAAAAAAACAATGAGAAATATACCCTAGATAATTAAAAGTATATATATATTTAAAAAAATATGAATGAAGAACTGAGAAGAAATATTTAAAGAAAGAGGGTACATATCATCTTAGAGAAGAGTGAATACTTCTGCTGATGAAAGTAAAATACTTAATTGGAATTATCTGATATATGTATCATTTTTTTAAATATTAATATAAAGCTATATGAGCCAAAAGAATATCACTAAATTTGATTTAAATCGAATTTTCGTGAAATGTACACTTGT